TCATATGATTGTTGGGTTTTTCTCTGTATCTATGAAGCGCCTTGAGGCGACTTTTGTTGTGATTTGGCGCTATATAAATAAAATTGAATTGAAATTGAATTAAATGAAATCTGTAAATAACTGTTTAGGCGCTGAAACAAGCTTCCAAAAATGAGCTTTTTTGTGAAATCAGCTGTAATTATAATTAAAGTGCATTTGTACTGTTTGTTTAACACGTTGCCATGTGTTGTTGTTGCTATGGAAATAACTGTGTCCGTGATGCCACAAAGTTCTTTAATTTAAGAAACAACAGAAAACTGTCCTTTCCCTCCTGCTGGTAGGACAGCCCTTTTGCTGCTTGGAGAGGCTGTCCAGCTGGAAGGGCTACAATTCCCGCCCCCTTCCAGGTTTTCTGCTGTCAACAGAACCTGAAACCCGAACCAAGTCTGGTTTTAGTCTGCTGCATCCAAATATAAACAACAACACAGATTTCAATCCAGTAAAATAGCTTCACGGCAGGTCTGACCACTGAACAAAGTTCTCTGGTTCAGCTCGCCGTCCAAGCTGGAAGACAGAAGATGGTTTGTGATACACAGCTGATACCTACTGAAAAAAGAAAGGGCATTTTTTCCCTTCGCTGCATGAACCACCCTGCCTCTCCCAGTGTTTGGGAGGGTAGACCACTCACAGCTTGTCTTTCTCTGGCCAGCGTTGCCAGAGAGTGAAGAGTCTGTTTACCCTCTTATCAGCAAACCCCTGAAGGCTCCTGACTTCCACCAGGGCCTGGGCCAGCTTCAGGACATTTTGATAGCCTGACTAACCATCAGGACTTTGGACCTCATCCTGAGAGGACTCTTTGGCGCAGATGTGGATACTGGATTGTTCTTTCTTTGTGATATTTTATGTTTAACTCATTTTTTGCAGATTTTATTAGGAAGGCATGCCAGACCATGACAGATTTAACTAAATTATTAAAAAACGTGCCACTGTTAAATAAAGTAGAAGATGATTTAGCTAAATGGAAATCTTTACCCATGTCACCCATGGAAAGGTTCATTAACCTCCTAGGACCTGGCATCCACATATGTGGACATCATATTTTGGGTTGTCTAGACCAAAATACAAAATTTTGCTCTACAAGGGCCTGATATCCACTTACGAGGACATTATACTGGCAATGAACTATCAAAATTTAAAACAAATGTCCTCATATGTGGATCTCATTTTTCTCAGAAACAAAAATCAGGTAAAAAAAAAAAAAAAATCTGGTAATTCTTTGTTTTTACATTCATCAGGTCCCAATCAGCCAAATATCAAAGAGAAATTAAAAATGCATGCCATGAAGGAGTTCGGGCCTTAGGAGGTTAAAAACGATGGTCTTGCCAGGAATCATTTATTTATTTTTAATGATCCCAAGTAACCAGACTGGTTTAGATCTCTGGGATAGTCTATTTCTAAATTCCTTTGGAAAGATAAACCCCTGTGTATTAGCCTATAAACGCTATAAAGAACCAAGGATAAAGGAGGACTAGTGCTGTGTCCCAATTCCTAGGCCCAATCCTTCAGAGGACCCGGTCTTCGCGGTCTACGTGGGCCGGGTCCTTCGAAGACCGATAAGGCCGGAAGTGCGAGGCTGTGAAATGGGACGGTCTAGCCTTCTGATTAGCGTCACCGCTGTCTCGGTGGAGTTTAATAAACTCAGCCGTCTGCTCCCTGCTATCTAAAATATAACAGGACACTGGAGTAAACTCTCGACCGTCTCACACTTCTGATAATCAGTTTTCTGTGTGACGTTTATTTAGCTGTGTGAAAACTATAACTTTAATCTCAGCCAAACCGATTTACTCACAAACAAATAAAACACTGAAAAAGCCAAACAATAACATTTTTAATTTTCTGGTGGAAGTTTCTAAAAACGACAGTCTTCATTAATCCCATGCAAATGTACACTGTCCAGAACAACCCTGACATACTACAGAACAATCATACGATTAATTTCACAGATTGGAGTGTAAAGAAATTAAATACATATATTCAAAGGAACAGACTTATTCTGTTCTACAGATTGATGAAACTCCTAAACTCTTCATCCACTTTGAATGTGGATACCCTCAAATTAAAGCATCTGTGGTCGACACATTAGTTATATAATGGACATGGACATATACTTGGAATGTGATTCAGTAAACAAGTAAAAAAACAAAAGTCAGGTCCATATATATTTGGACACTGACTCAACTGTGCACCAATTTTCTTACCTGAGCTTCATCATGAGCTTTGGGTACTACCAGGAAAAATGAAACCATGGATAGAAGCAGCTGCTGCTGTGGCTCTCCCTCAGACTTAAGAGTGAGGAGTTCAGTCATTAGTGAAGCTCAGAGTAGAACCGCTATTCCTCCACGTTAAAGGAGCCATTTGAGGTGGTTTGGGCATATTCCTAGGATGCCTCCAGGGTGAGGTATTCCAGGCATGTCCCACCAAGTAGAGGCCCTGGGGCAGATCTGGCTGGGAACACTTCAATGTTCCCCTTGACAAGCTGGAGGTGGCTTGACAGAGGGAGGTCTGAGCTTCTCTGCTTAGGGTGCTGGCCCCACAACCAGACTCTGGATAAGCTGAAGAAAATGGAAAGATTAATCAAAAATAACAAGCTTAAGGAGTTACTGACCTGGGGCTGTTAAACTGGACACTGAATTACTATGAAAAATAATTATTACCGTCTACACCAGCAGTAGCTAACATGGTACTGCTGCAGGGCATGTTCACAGTCGACAGTGAGCACCATGAAAAGTGTATTTAACTGTGTGCTTGTTCTTTTTTAAATCAGTAACATTTGGATTAGCCTTCTAGGACCTCCACATATGTAGACATCACATTTTTGGTTGTCTTGACCAAAATACAAAATTTTGCTCTACAAGGGCCTGATTTCCACTTACGAGGATGTTATACTGCCACTTTTCTATCAAAATTTAACATTTATGTCCTCACATATCGATCTCATTTTTCTCAGAAACAAAAATCAGGTTAAAGAAAAATAAATCTGGTAATTCTGTGGGACCTGATGAATGTAAAAACAATCAGCCCAAATAGCAAAGAGAAATTAAAAATGTATGAAAGAGGTTAATGTAGCTTTGGAAATATTGAATGTAAATTTTTAAATAAAGTTTTCATTTTTAAAAACAGAGTTTGTTTCCAGAGTTTCTGGGAAAAAAACATTTATATTTAAAAATCATTGATTTGGATCGGGGGGCATCGATGAGCACTACTGACCAACAGTCTGGTGCTCTCCCCTCAGTTTTAATAGCACTCTAGCTTTCACACTGTCATACTCACTTCTCACTACATCTCATTATATCCTGTCAAGGAAACGGATTTTGCCTTGACGGGGTGGCTGTAGTAGCTCAGGAGGTAGAGCAGGTCATCTACTGATCGTTGGATTTCTAGACATGCTAAAGGAAGGTAGAATTACCGTATTTTCCAGATTATAAGGCGCATTAAGTGAAACAAAACAAAACTCATTCTTCTTACTACCTCCACTTCCGTACCATTGATTCATTAATGTTGAATTCTCTGGCAGCTGCTCTATTCCCATTTTCTGGACCTGAAAACAGGGTTTGATCTTTGGTTTTATTCTATAATACTGGACTTATGTTTCTACCAAGGTTTGAACTTTGAGAGTTTAAACAAGAGAGAAAAGTGTGAAAATGTTCGTGCCTGTCTGAGAAAACTCTATAAAGTGTGAAGCCTTAAATCATCTATAATAATTGTAAAAAATTAAGTTGGCTACTTCGCGGATTTCACCTATCGGAGGTTATTTTTAGAACGTAACTCCCGCGATAAACAAGTGACCGCTGTAGAGGATCCAGTACTTTGTCGTTGGATCAAAAGGACTGTCTTGCTTTAAAAAAAGACAAAGGACAAAATTAACAGTCAATGTTTAAGAGACAAAAGCACAGACGCTGACAGTTGTATAAAACGACATTCTTTATTTACAAATTTATATTTTGCAGTAAATGCAAAATTCCTGTAAAAGACTGTTGTACTAAAACATGGTTCTGTAGCCTCTAACTGTAAAACAAGTGGGACACAGTGAGCATAAAATACATGCACATATCTGTACACTGTCACCAAAATACATCTGATTACAAAATATAGTGCTCGATACAAATATCTGGAGTTTGGATTCAGCAGACGTCTCAGATTTCACATATGCACGTGTGAAACAATCTTCCTTTGCATTTCTGTATGAAAATAAGGAGCTGTTTAAGCAAAAATAGACTCTGCCTTCCGCCTATTATTTCACATGTTTAGGTTGTGCATCTTCAGTAGCAAATACTCACTATTGGATGAGGAAGTATTTTTCTCCAACAACAATAAAAAACAAACAAACCAAAACAAGGAAAAAACAGAAAAACAAACAAACAAACAAACAAAAGCCTCAAACCAGTGCTTCAGTCTGATCATCTTGATCATCAATCCCACATCTTCAAGGTAATGTCAGTGGGAGGAAAGTGAAACACTTGCAGTCAAACCAAGACGAGGAGAAAATACTACGACTATTAGATTGAAACTGCTGCTTTCACCTGGTATGAAGGGTATATCCAATCTCTGTGAGGTAACGTCAGAGGCAAGAAAGTGAATCAAACCAGGACAGGATCTGTACTCAAACTACACATGCTCACAAAGAACTATAACTGATGCTACCGGCCCCCAGCATGCATATGTATTTGTTGACTTGATGTGTGAGTGGCCACATAACTGAGCAGTTGCAGAAAACTTTTATTTCAGGATGTTTCGCCTCATTTCATGGGTTGCATTTTCATTTTGGGTAAAGTCAGGAAATCTGGGATTCATTCAGTCGGAATTAGGAGAGTAGTGATTATCAGTTTGCATATATAAATATATTCTTACAGCAGTCGATCTATACAGCACTTAAATCAAAAAGTAAATTTAAAAATAACTGCGTGCTTTTCCTGATTTTAAACCTTAACTCTGAACATAACCTGGTCTTAATCAGTTTATGTGTTTGCACTAAGATGCTAGTGATTTAACCCAGTAAAATAGATCGCCCATGTGTAACTGTGACTCTGTATCTCAGGTCAGGTCATGCACCAACTGGAAGGTTGGTGGTTCGTCTCATCTCAGTCTGTATGCCAAAGTATCCTTAGACATGATACTGAAAACCAATTTGTTCTCCAATAAATGATTGAATTGAATTTTAGAGCTGGTGTGAATGAGGCATGTTGTGCTCCAGTTGAGTGGAAAAGCGCTACATAAGAACCAGTCTGTTAATGATGCTGGTATTACTGGAACATGTTTACATTCTCTGGGCTCAAGTAGTGCAAGCCAGAAAGACCAAATTTGTGCTGAGTTTTTCTTAAGCTTCTGAAAGTTTCACAGTTTATTATATATTATTAATAATCCTATTTCTGCATAGAGGTAGGCCCAAAATTAGACAAGAGTTTTTGTAATGTTGCCTCTGTTTACTTCAGTGAATCAAGTGGATTTTAATCAAACAGTCAAGTTATAGATTTTCAGCTATAATTCAAAGGTCTTAACCAAAGTATCGCATCGTGTTTAGAAATGACAGACATGTTTACATGTAGCGGCTCATTCTTCTGTCAACGACAGAAACGTGAAACACTTGATTTTATAGATGTTTTTCTAATAATAAAACAATAAATAATCAAGTATCTAACTCTCAGGCTGTTACTTTCATCCTCTGGGTTCGATCAAGTTAAACTAGCTGTAGAAGCAGCGGCTCATTTTCTGCCTCTATCATACAGGAGCAGGATCTTCAAAAGAAAATGTTAGCAAGCAAACTTGACGACTTAAACTTTAAAGCAACTTGAGGCGACTGTTGTTGTGATTTGGAGCCATATAAATAAAACTGAACTGAATTGAATCTACTTTTAGAAATATATTAAACACAGGATGGGATGTTCTGCATTGATACCCTCCTTTTCAATACTCAACATCTGGCTTGTTAGCCTTAATGTTCCCTCTGCAGAGGTGTGGAGTGCAGCTTTAACTGTTCAGATATCTGTCTGTGACTGTTGTTGACAACACATTTACATAAAGAATGTCATTTTATAGAGACACACAGATGAGGACAAAAATATTACCCCTGGAATTTTCTGTTTTCAATTTATCTCTTTTGACAGAGCACTGGATTTTCAAAATAGCATTTTTAAATTCTTTAGAAAGCACATATTACTTCTATCTGCACATAAAAACCTAATCAAAGTTCAATGTAGTTATCCCCCTGACAAACTGACTTTATTGGGCCCCTGCACAAAGCCCCGCTCTGCAAAGATGTGCTTTAACTTCTTATAAAACTGAGAGTCATCTTCTGACTTATACACAAACTTTAGCGAGGGCTTGAGTCGTCAAACATCACACCAAAATGAAAAGAAAGACTTGAGGAAAAGAAAGGTTGGTGCTCACAAAGCAGGAGATGGCTACACAAAGTTATCACTGGGTTTCAAAACTGGCATAAGAAGTATGATCGAGAAACTCAAGGAGAACCACACAGCGCACAAATAAAACACGGTAGACGAGGAGGTGAACCATTTCAAAGACTCTGGAAAGGAAACTAGTAAAAGATGTTCTCAAGACCCCGGAACAACTGCCAAGACTCTAGTGAATGACTTAGCCAAGCTTGGAATCAGTAAAGGACTGCAGACCAAGAAAAAGCCAGACTGAAGTAATCGAAGGAGAACCCTGAGAAAAATGGTGCATGCTGCAAATATGCTCTTCAACCAGATTAGATGAAATTGGAGCGCTCTGGTCACAAAGACCACACCCCCCAAGGTACACCATCCCTGCAGTCAAACACATCATGCTGCGGGGCTGCTTCAGTGTGTCTGGAACTGGGAATCTTGTCAAGGAAGGAAGGAATCATGAAGAAGGATATGTGAAGATGATAAAGCACAACTCAAGCAGCAAAACTGGACCTGGGTCATCGTTTCGTCTTCCAACACGACAGCCCAAACCATACAGAGCTCGTTGTGAAGACCAAAACAAATACTAACAAGTTGGGGACAATCATTCCTGCCCTTATCTGTAAATAAAACTGAATTGACTGGCATGCATTGTTTGTGGATTCACTCATCAATCATGAGTAAATCACCCAGCACAGTGGGTGACTTGATTACCAGACTGGATCTAATTTGAATTAAGTCTTCCTTCATGAGGCTACTGGATTCTGCACACTATTTTGTATTTCTGGAAAAGTTACTTTTGAATCAAATAATAATATAATCTTCTAGACCTTTCAGTAAAATGTAAGAAAAACCCCATGAATAAAATGTTCAGGCACTGTGTTTTGGAACGGGGTGGATCATACCATCAATGTGAAACTGATGCACAGGCCAGCACTGTTTCTATTCAGCAGTTATACAAATAAACTGGGGTAAGTAGTCAAATATTTCACCACACAGCCACATGTCTAGTGGTGCCTCCTAAATATTATAACTGGTTGTGTAGTACTGGGACCAATAACTACACAACCAGAGTTGTTCACGTTGTTGTGGAGGACTTTCAGCCCATTCTTCTAAGCAAAATTGTTTTAATTCAGACACAATGAAAGGTTTTCGACCACCAACAGCGTAGTTACAGGTCATGTTGCTCAGACTCTGAAGCAACAAAGCAGCCCTGACAGTTACACCACCACCACCACCCATGTTTGACTGTTGGCATGATGTTATTTGTAGGAAATTAAGTGTTACACCTGATATACTGAGAGGGTAGTCTTCCAAAAGGCTTGACTTTTTGTCTCACAGGTGCACAAAATATTTTCCCAGAAGTATTTGTGTTTGTTTAGGTCGGCCCTCTTTTCCACCTCTGAACTTTCCCACAGAGGCCATTTTTTCCTCTTTTTGTATTCTTCAATGACGAACACTGACCCTAACTAAGGAAAGTCAGGCCTGCAATTCTTTAGATGTTGTTCTGGGTTCTTTTGTTTCCTTCGGGTGAGTCATTGATGCACTCTTGGACTAATATTAGTCGGCTGGCCACTCTGGGAAGGTTCACCACTGCTCCAAGTTTTCTATAATAGTGAATAACGGTTCTCACTAGAGAAAAGAAGGGGGCAAAAAACCTTCACCTCATTGTGTGATCATATCAGCACGTCGCTTTTTACCTGCCTGGACTGAACAGAGCAATCAAGCACACAAGTCAAAGTAGGAAGCAGACAAGGAGATAAGTTAGAGGGAAATGATTTTTCAGTACCAGATGACTGATGTCATCGGGATGATAAACAGAACTGAAAGGTCCTTTGTTCCTTACAATCAGTTCATTCTGCATTTCCCAAAGTGCTTCGCTGCCCTCGACTGACAGCTTCAAGGAGGTAAGAACAAGACAAGACACGCCACATGAAAAATATTTGGAATTACATACGAACAAAAATGGCCTATTTCACTGACTGAAGATCAATCTACAACCTTTTCCATACGTAGGACTTATTGCTGAAGGTCAGAGCAATTTACTTTGTCTTCACAGTAAGAGTGCAGCTATGTGTCTTCAAGTTTTCTGGGTTTTTTGTTTAGTTACTGGCTTACTAGTGGACATGAAGCAAGCAGAGACACTGGGTGACTGTACCAGTCTGTCACTAAGAACAAGGGTCAGGGCACGCTGTTATGTCACAGAAGTCTGGTGCAAACAGCTAAAGCTTGAGTTTGGTTCTGTTGTTGTAACTATTCTCTCATGATTATTCTTAATCATGCACAGGTGAAATGTACCTCTGTACATTGCACATTGTGCCATTCAGGGTTCAATTCAGAAGTTTTCCAGTTGGGGCTTATCATCTTACTGGTCACAGATACTACTCTCTTTAAAAATACCAGCTGCTGCCAGCGCTACTTATAGATGCACATTTGGTATCAAACCTCCGACCCTGAGGTCAAGGTCACTGAGAATCAAACTCTTTCAGGATTTTTAGTAGACGCACCAACTGTATCAATTTGAAAATCCTAGACGACTTAGTTATGATATAGTTTTTGTATTCACAAGCGTGTTAGAGAACTCGACCTCTGACCTTGAGGTCACTGAGATTTACTCAAAGCTTCCTGTTTACTTGGGTTTTATTCAGTTGTTGCTGAATGTATTTGTTTGGCTTCAATATGATGTAAAAATAAGTGGTTTACATAATCTGGTTTATTTAAGAGGGAGCCATCAACAGCGACAATCCTGAGTTCTCGTATTTCTGCCTGCTGATGGCGAACGATGGTTAAAACAGCAACAATCACAATACGGGTTGTGACAAACCTTTTGTCCTTTGGTGACCAATTTCAGCAACATTGACTAGCTCTTGTTTGTAGTAAAGCTGTGTTCACGTTGCTTCCTTCTCTCTTAAATTAGGCCCAAAGTGTTGGGGTTTTATTTAGTTGAAGCTAAATTAAAGATGAGTCCTGTTCAGTCTGCACACACACGATGTAGAAAAGTCTAAGAAATCACAGAAACTCATTTTAAACAGAGACTAGATTACAAACTGGAACCTGCCGTGGAAAACTGGCATGAAAGTGAAAATAATTAGCAACATAGCAATCCCCATCACTCTGCATATACACAATATACAACGGACTATTTGTTGAAAATATAAATTAGTCATGTTCCTCACAAACAACGAGTCAGGTGAAAGGAGCAGGAAGTACGTTTGTTTCCAACCTGTCATGTGATGTCAGTGATGTGATTGCAGCCATCGTGATAATGAAAACATGGCTGAGGTGCAGCAAACGAGTCAGACCGAATGGAGTCCATCACAGAGTATACTGTGGTACCTTAGCACAGAGATTTACCAGCAGTCTAAGGAGAACTTGTTCCTCTGTGTTATGTCTACTGTACTATCCTGTATCTGTGTGGCAGTGTAGGACACATTAGCTGTCTTTGGAAATCGACTGCCCCAGTTTATTCTCAGCTTAGTCTCAGCAACGCGACTCTACCGTCTGCACACCATGAGAACCAGTTACAGGACTGGTGCCACATAAATACAGACAAACAAAGTGTCTACAGCCCAAGGAACAGGTCTACAGAGTTCCTCCCCTCTCTGTGGCAACAGAGTCGTCACTGTTGGCCCAACAGACCTTAACTCTTAACGCTAATGAGGAAAAAAAACAAGTAAAAAAACTAAAAAAAAAGCAAAAACACCCTCAATTACTTCTTGACGACAGTAGAAATGTGAGGGTGGGACAAGGATCAGGAGAGGCAGGAGGAACTGGGGAAGGAGGTGAGGGTGCAGACTGGGAGGCTGTAATAGGAGGGGTCGGTGAAGGGGAACAGAAGGAGAAAGAAGAGGAGGACCCCCAGTAAATAGGAGGAGAGGACAGTGAGTCGGTAAGGGTGCTCCAGAGCTGTGCTGATGGCAGGGAAACCCATGTAGTTACAGAAGGAGTGGCAAAGTACCGGACCAATCAGGTGGCCTGTAACAGACAGAAAAAAAACAGCCATTTACTCCCACTGTTTGACAGTGTTACAGCTTCCTTTAGCTTCCCATTCAGCTGTGATAGATAAACAAATGCTTTGATTTAAAAATAATCCTTTAAATCCTGTAACTGAAAATATTAAAACTGTTTTGAAAGACAGAAGAGAACATTTTGGACAAGAGGAAAGAATTTTAAATAATCAGCTAACGTGCAAGCTTGATGAAGTGTATTGTTTATATACAGAAGAGATGTCTCATCCAACTACCGGCCTGTAACCTACCTCAGTACCACAGTAAGATGAACAGGCTCAATACATGAGCTACTGGTACACAGAGCAGTTGCTCCACACTGCAAGGCCACACTGGCCAACCTGAGCACTGTGTGACACTTTAAACACTCATCCAAGGCCAATGACACCAATGTCCAGCGCATAACTGCTACAGCAAATTAAAAAATTACTTTATCACACTTATTAACTTAATTTCTCTAAATCCCACACATACAATATTGCTGGAGACATAAGGATAAACTATGACGTAGGCTTGTGGAATAAGCTGCAGGCTGTAGTGTCCCGAACAGTTAACTACATATATCACAGGTCTTTATATATGACTGTTTAATATGGAAAACATTTTATTTTTAGGTTTTACTGAATTACAGTGGTATGCAAAGATTTGTGCACCCTTGATAATTTTCCTGTTTTTCCTTCATAAATCGTTGGTTGTTTGGATCAGCAATTTCATTTACACACAGTGATATTTGAGAAGTGAAATGAAGTTTATAGGATTTACAGAAAGTTTGCAATAGTTACTTCAACTAGTTTAGGCAGGTGCATAAATGTGGGACCCTTGTTGTTGTTTTATTGATTTGAATGCCTTCAGCACTAATTATTGAAACATAAAATTTGTTTGGTAAGCTCATTGACCCTTGACCTACATACACAGATGAATCCAGTCAGGAGGAAGCATATTTAGGGTGGCCAGTTGCAAGTTTTTCTTCTCTTTGCATCTTCTCTCGAGAGCAGCAACACGGGAGCCTCAAAACAACTCTCAAATGACCTGAAAACAAACCATGTTCAACATCATGGTTTAGGGGAAGGATACAAAAAGCTATCACGGAGATTTCAGTTTCCACTGGGAGGAACATAGTGAGGAAGACCACAGGCACAGTTCTAGTTAAGGCCGAAGTGACAGGTCAAGGAGAATCTTAGATAATCAGAGGCGATGGATGGTGAGAACAGTCAGAGTCAACCCACACACCAAATGGAGTCACTGTGCATCGTTCAACTATTCAGCGCACTTTGCACAAGGAGACGCTGTATGGGAGAGTAAAGCAGAAGAAGCCTTTTCTGCACACATGACACAAACAGAGCCGCTGGAGGTTTGCTAAAGCACATTTGGACAAGCCAGCTTCATTCTGGAATAAAGTGCTGTGGACTGATGAAACTAAAATTGAGTTATTTGGGCATAACAAGAGGTGGTATACATGGCGGAAACAGTACACAGCATTAAAAGAGAAACACCTGCTGCCTACAGTAAACTGTGGTGGTGCTTCCATCATGCTGTGGGGCTGTGCCCAGTGCAGGGACTGGGAATCTTGTTAAAGTTGAGGGTCGCATGGATTCCACTCAGTATCAGCAGATTCTTGAGAACAATGTTCAAGAATCAGTCACAAAGTTGAAGCTGCACCAGTGCTGGATCTTTCAACAAGACAACGACCCGAAACACTGCTCAAAACCCACTAAGACATTCATGCAGAGGAACAAGTCCAACGCTCTGGAACGGCCATCTCAGCCCAGACCTGAATATTACTGAAAATCTGTGGTGTGAGTTAAAGAGAGCTGTCCATGCTCGGAAACCACAAATCCAGACTGAACTGGAGACGTTTTGTAAAGACGAAAGGTCCAAGATACCTTCAACCAGAATCCAGACTCTCATTGGAAGCTGAAGTGTTTGGAGGCGTTATTTCTGCAAAGGAGGATCTACTAAATATTGATGTATTTTTTCTGTTGGGGTGCCCAGATTTATGCACCTGCCTGGTTTAGTTTAAGTAACTATTGCACACTTCCTGTAAATCCTAGAAACTTCGTTTCACTTCTCAAATATCATTGTGTTCATCTGCTATATGATATATTTAAATGAAATTGCTGATCCAAACAACCAATGATTTATGAAGGAAAATCATGAAAAGGGTGCCCAAACTTTTGCATATCACCATATATGACAAATGAAAATTAGGAATATGTCCATATTCAGTGAACCTTCAGTTATTTTGTAACTGTAAAAAACCCCTCTGTGTGGTCCATAACAGGAAAAAACATTCAGTGCACTTCAACGTTGAAAGCTATGCACGAATTATCTTAAATCCTCTTTCACATACAGCAGATATATTTTTTCCAGTAATGCACATCTGTTGGCTCATACGATGGCTGACCTGTGCATTTTATTTTAAAATTACGTACTGGTAAGTTAATTTCATTTAGTTTATCTCAGGTTAATTTCTGCTTCAGGACTGATGACAGACAACATTTCTGTAACGCTCTTAAGCCCAGGCTTGGACAGCCCGGCTCAGAAAACCCAAACATAATCGTACCACCCAGTGCCAGGCCGACGGGACGCTCCAAGAAAAAGAAGAGTGAAGAAAAGCCTCTTACCTGTTCTGATGAAGATGAAGGCTGTGTAGGCTCCAAACACTGCCGTGTAGGAAAACTGAAACACTGCAAAACAGAAGAACAAAAGTGCATCTTCCTGCTATCCTGTGATGAAGTCACAATAAATGCAGTGAAAAAGATGTTCTCACCTGCAGAGAGGAAAATACCCAACAGAGTGCCCTGTCTGAACCTCAGCAACTCAATCACATGGTGGAAGTGAGCTAGAAGAGAGGACAGAGCAGGCACTCAGACATGCAGCAACTTCAACAAAGACATTATTGGAACACACTCTGCATTATTTATTATATACACTGCTACTTCCAATCAACACAAAAGGGGAAAAAAACTTTCCAAAAAGCACTCAAAGTCTTGGCTTCTTTGTTTGACTTGTGCTCTTACAGCAGCGCTTATGCAGCGATATTGTCTGAGTGGCGACGCCTATCGTTCAGAAGGAAACTGCAGGGGCTTCCTGCACTGTAATGGTGGGTATAAAGGCTGGTGTCCTGTAAACAGGTAGCGACAGAGCTCAGATTTTGCCTGTAAGAGGATGAACCAGGCAGTGATCAGACTACAGCAGATGGGGGACAGAGGGATAAGTGCTTTTGTCCCTGGTAGGGACAAATTCTCGTGTCTGACATTTGCTCTGTTAAAGTCATGAAGAACAATGAGCAGGGAGACACCGGGTGTTTGTCCTCAGTGTTTGGTATCTGATGCTTTGCTAACACAGGCCTAACAAGGTGAACTCCTGTGGAGTATGAAATGATTTAAACTCAGTGATAATGGTCTCTAGGTGAGGGACTGCATGTTTCTTTCCCAACACTGCGCCATCTACAGTGGGGCAAAAAAGTATTTAGTCAGCCACCGATTGTGCAAGTTCCCCCACTTAAAATGATGACAGAGGTCAGTAATTGGCACCAGAGGTA